GGGTTGAGCATGGAAAATTCCTGGGAGCCTGACGCCGCCAGAAGCCGGGGACATCAGACATGGGGCTGAGCCAGAGCCCTGCCGCAATCTTCCCACACCCAAGCAGCCTCCGCCCAGGTCTTTCTGGGGGAGAGGACTGCTGCAGAGACCAGAAGGCCCGGATGCAATGGTAACTGGCTCCCTCTGTGGGCCTTGGTCACCATCTTCCCTTCACACCCTCCCAGGGAGACTGTCTTCAGGGGCAGAACCCCAGGCTCACCCTGGGCCCTGCCTCCTCACCACTAACCCTCTCTCCAGCTTTGAGTTGCAAAGGCCAGGGGCCATGGTGGGTCCAGACTGAGGAAGGCTCTTGGCTGGGTCCCCGGCAGTGGGCCCCACCCTCACAGGCTCTCCACCTCTCACAGCTGGACCCACGGTGGCCATTTGATTGTCAACCTCACTGTGCATTTGCCAGGAAGGGCTGAGGGACGTGCAGCCCCAGGTTAGGGGCTGGATTTGGATTCTGGTCTCTAGACTCTCAGGAGCATCGACCAGTCATAGTCAGGGGGCATCTATTTTACCTTCCAAAATACTGCTTGGCTGCAGGGACCCAGAACCCTTCCAGAATAATGCTTGGCTTGCCTGGTGGACAGGGCAGAGGCTGAGCCCTCATCTGCCTCATCTACAGGGTGCCTGAGGCGCAGGTGGGATGAGACCAGCTGAGCTGCATGGATAGCAAAGGCACAGGATCACAGAAGGGACCCGCCATCCCAGATGGTTCAAGGCCAAAGAACAGAGCACTGATCGCTTCCTTTCCCAGAGACTTGGCTTCTTTGTGGACAGCAGAAGCCGTGGAGCAGGCCATCTTCGAGGGACCTCCGTGCTCCTATGCATCTGGGGCTGGTGCAGTTCCTGGTGCTTGAAGGTCACTACTAGGTGGCTCTAGCTGGCGGAATCCAGGACAGCTGCTGACCCTTGAGCCACAAGGGTTTGAACTGCATGGGTCCACCTATATCTGGATTTATTTCAATAAACACAGGACAGTACTGTAAATGTGTTTTCTCTTCCTTACGATTTTCTCAATGACATTTGCTTTTTTCTATACAAAACGTGTGTGATAACCAAAATTGATGGTTTATGTTATCAGCAAGGCTCCTGGTCCGTGGTATGCTATTCGTAGTTAAGTTGTGAGAGAGCGAGAAGCCAAATTCAGATTTTTGACTGCGCAGGGGTAGGGGGATGACACCTGGCCCCTGCCTTGTTCAAGGGTCAAATGTAACTTCCTAAAGGGCGTCGACCCAGGGTGCCAGGCTGGTGCTCCAGATGACATGTGACCTCCCTTTGAGAGCTGTTGTGGCCATCCCAGGTGCAGTGTGGAGAACTCGCTCACGCTCAGAACTCCCAGAAAGGTGCGTGGGAGAGGGGGCTTCTCATCTCTACAGGTACACAATTTGTCATCACTCAGGTATGGTGTGGAACGTTGGCCCAAATAACTCAAAATGTTCCTTTGGGTTCTGGGATTCTGTGACCTGAACCAGAGTCCTGGTGCTCTGAGAAAGCACACAGCTTCTGCAAGGAACAGGACCAGCGAAGTGCTCTCCACGAGCAGGGTCCGGAGGTGAGAATGTGGGGATCCTTCCTGCCCACCCCAGTCAGTGAACACCCACCCCAACCACCAGGCTGCTTTTACCCCTCTTCCCCCCCTTGCAGCCAGTCTCACCTCCTCTCTCTGAGGGGGAGACAGCTGGAGTCTGGATTTCGGGGGGTCGGGGAGTGGTCACCAGACTGATGAGCGGAAGTGAGAAGTTTTCTGCAGCCCTCTTGTAACTTCCTGCACCGGCCTCAGGGCCTCATTCACAGCTTCCCAGTGACTTCTGGGGCAACACAGAGGACAGAGGAAACCCCCTTCGAAAGCATCATGAAGAACATGACTTCTGGGTCTTCAGGCTGGGAGTGCAAGCTCCCTCCTGCCCGGCCCACCGCCCCAAAGGCTCCCCCATCCCCCAAGAGGAGGCCCAAGCATGCCTGGTCCAGCCTGGCATTGTGCGCCCACCAAGGGCCACCTGCTCAGCTTCACAGGGATGGAGAGTCAGGGATGGAGGACTAGAAACTGCTGGTCTCACATTTCTCTCTCCTGTGGGAGGGCACCGTCTTCACTGCAGACAGATACTTAGTCCTGGGCCCCAAGACATCCAGAGACAGGGATCAGGTCAGGCCCCATGTGTGTGGGCCTGACCCGCTAGGCTATCAGGTCACATCATGGAAACTTAGCAGTTGGAACACACGCTCCCGCGAGCCCGCCCTGCTCTGAGCTCTGTGGCCCAGAAGCCGGGAGGACAGGATGTGTTCCAAGGCAGATGTTGTGAGCTCCTAGCCGGCAGCAGCGGCACGAAGGAGTCCCCAGGGTGACACTCATGGTCTTCACCTGCACCGGAACAGAGTTTATTCTCTGCCAAGAATTTTCCAGAGAGCTAGAGAGGAAAGGCAGGGCCTTCTGCCTGTTCACCGGGTTGGGGAGGATATTACAGGCCAAGCCTTTCCCATGCCTGCCTCCCCCGTGGGCAGCCAAGGGTTGGGCAAAAACAGCTGGTGAATCCAGGCTCTGCCACTTAGCAGGTGACCCTGCGCAAGGTGCTGACTTTCTCTGTAGCTCTACCGTCTTTGTCTACGAAATGGGAATAACCATCCCTACCTCACGGGAGACAGCAGCGGTGGCAATGAAGTGACACGGGGCAGGCTGAGCAGATAGCATGGAGCCCAGCATTCAGAGAACAAAGGGTTACTGTCACCATTTCAGGGGAAGGACAGGGAGCCAGACGGGGCCCAGGCGGCCCTGTGCCCCCCTCTTCTCTGGGCTCAGCTCTAGGGTGTCCTCTGCTGCTGATCGGAAAGCCCCCCAGCCCTGGTTTCCCATGCATCCGACCTGTGCATCGCTGGACCAGCAACACAGAGAAGGCTACTGGCAGTGAGTATTTACTGGAAAGAAAGACTGAATTGGGGGATGGATAAATGACGAAGGAATGAATGATGACCTCACTTTACAGACAAGAAACACAGGTGAGAGTGGTTAAGTCCTGGCTCAAGCACAGACAGCAGGCAGGCAGTCTTTTCCAGAGCCTTTCCAGTGCCTACGAGCTGTTTCTCTCTGGGGCCATCATCACCCTTGGGCCCCAGAACAGACCGGGTGCAGGGCGGGTCAGGGGCAAGGCTACTGAGCCTCCTCCGTGCCAGCCTGTTAGCCTGGCCACACACCAACTCCCCGAGGCGAGAATCCTCCCATTGCACAGATGAGGGAATTTGGTCTCAAAGAAGCTAAGTGGCCCTGCTCCCACTGGGGCAGCAGCAACGCAGGGTTCCAAGCCAGTACTAATTCCTAAGCCCAAGGACTGCTGCAGGGCAGGGGAATCACACATAATCCACACACGTTTATTTGGCACACTCTATGCCACGTCTGTGCCAGCACCTTTCCATTCTCTCCTTGCTATTACGAGGTCAAAGCCAGGACTAGAACTTGCACTACTGACCTCAGCCCAGGGTTCCAGGGTGTTTGTGCAAATCATATCAGTTGAGACTGTTCCCCTGTGGCTGTAGGGCGAAGGAGCTGAGAAAGACAGCAGGGCCCCAGCACCGGCAATGCTGGAGACCCCTGGGTGGGGTCTCTAGGGACACGCTCTGGAGGTTTCTGCAGGGCCCTTTGTAGCAGCACTACCCAGAGAGGGAGACCTGGGGCCAAAGCCTTGTCCCTGGCACTCCATCCTCAGTCCCCAAAGCAGGCTGGGTTAATGCAGCCCTTGTCGTGGCAGCCTCCCACTGCCCTTCCCAACCACACCTTCCCACACTAATCTCAGCTCTTTCTCCTCTGCCCACCGGATGGGCCTGGGGTGCAGGAGGAGTGGCCCCTGGCCAGATCTCTCCTGCCCCCACACGGCCCCGGTGGTAATGGGTGGACCAAAGTGCCCAGAAGAGGGCCATGGCGTCTCTGAGGTGGCCCACATGGCGATGACTGAGGAGTTCGCTCCGGACCAAGCGTCTGGTGCAGAGGAACACCGAGCCTGGGCTGGAATCCGCCCGGGAGCTCCCTGGGCCGAGCCTCTTCCGAGGGCCAGTGTGGCACAACCGGGAGACACTCGGGACTCCCTCAGCTTTGGGTCCTATGGTATCGTGTTGACGCTGGTCACCCACTCAAAGTGACCGTCTAGATTTCAAGTTCAGTAGTAAATGAAATTTTAAAGGATAAAGAACGCATCTGCGCTGCTTCGAGGGTCTGTCTGGCTCAGGCCCTCTGTCTGCCTACCAGGACCTCGTCCACCCGCTGGATGTTCCCGCACTGGGCTATGTCGGGCTGCCGTGGAGCTGAACAGATCAATACCGGTCAACCACCTCCCTACCCTGACCCAGTGCGCTCTGGGGTGCCGCCGCCGTGGCCGCTGGGCGTCCCCTCCACCCATCACCCATCACCGCGGCCAGAGAGGTACGGAGGCACCACCCTGGGGCTCTCAGCTGCCCGCCCTCCCGGCTTCTGGCCGCGCCCCAACATACCAGGTAGCCCGCTTCCGTTGACCGGCCCCCCTTGAAGGAGAGCGGAAGGTTATCACTTTCGACGTACGTACAAATGAACTCGGGGCGCCGCTCCCGCGCAGGAGTCTCCCCATCACCCCGGGGCTGCCTCCCCGACTCCCGCGCTCCTTTGAGATGTTGGCTCCAGCTTAAGCGCACGTTCTGCGCCCAAACCTTTACTTTCCGACTGTCGATCCACGTCCATCTGTCTTTCCGGCCTGCCCTTCCAGCCGCTAGCCCTCTCCTCCCTCCGGGTCCCCACCCGCGCTCCGGTCTTTGGAGGCTGTGGCAGCCTTCGAACCGCTGATGAAAAACGCGCCTTTGTGGCAACCCTGCGCGCCCCGGTGGCCTCCGGACGCCCTGGTGGCCTCTCGGTGCGTCCAGGCCCCGAGGGCCCGGCAGTGACCGGCGGGGCCGAGCCCTTCCGCGCGGCCCCACCTCTGGCGTCTCGGGCACTCGCAGAACCGGAGCGGGCAGGGGGCGGGTGCTGCTCCTCCGCAGGGGAGTGGGGACGAGGCTGGGCTGGTGCGCGCGATGCCTCGGAGCCTCGAACTCCGGAGGGCGCGTTTGGCTGGGGCGCGGCGTGGGCGGCGGGGGATCGCAGCGCCGTGGGGCAGGGAGGCGGGGCTCCGGTTTGCGGCGGGAGCCTCCGGCGGGTTAACACTCGCTAGGCGAGAGTGGGGGCGAAGCGCTACGGCGCCGGGAGGAGGCTCCTGTCCCGGACTCCGCGTTAGGCCGGAGTGGGGGGCGCGGTGCTGCCACGCCAGTGTTCAGCAGGGGGCGCTGCTCCGGGCGTTGGGCGGGGGTGGGGTGGGCGAGGAGGGGGGGCCGCGACTTGCTGCGCACACTTCCCCCATTATTAAACACTATGTTCAAAAGGCGCCGGGGGACTTCCCGGAGCCACGGAGCCCGCGCCGCCCGCCCGCCTGGCCCACGGAGCCCATGGACCTGAGCGCGGCCGCCGCGCTGTGCCTCTGGCTGCTGAGCGCCTGCCGGCCCCGCGACGGGCTCGAAGCGGCCGCCGTGCTGCGAGCGGCGGGGGCAGGGCCGGTCGGGAGTCCGGGGGGCGGCGGCGGCGGCGGCGGCGGGCGGACCCTCGCCCCGGCTGCGGGCGTCTCCGCTGCCCCGACCGCCGCGGCTCCCGGAGCCCGCGCCGCGCGCCGGGCCGCCGGCTCCGGCTTCAGGAACGGGTCGGTGGTGCCGCACCAGTTCATGATGTCGCTTTACCGGAACCTGGCCGGGAGGGCTCCCGCCGGGGCAGCCGCCGCCTCCACCTCGGGCTCTGGCCGCCACGGCCGCGCGGACACAATCACCGGCTTCGCAGACCAGGCGAACCAAGGTACTCACGCCTCTTCTGCGCCCGTCCGTCCTGTCCGCTCCTAGGCTGAGGCCACCGCCAGAGCCCGAGCCCCAGCTCCAGACCCTTCGGGGCGCGGCCCCCCCCACGCCCCAGCCTCAGGTGGTGGAAACTCCGCCGAGGCCCACGCACCCGAACCCTCTGGACTGTGGCGAGAGACGCGGCAGCTCTCGGGGCTGAGCCCGTCCCTCCGCCGGATTGCCCTGGCCCTGCCGGCCGGCGGGTCCCCTCGAGGAGCGGCAGGATCGGAAGCAAGAAGGGGCCCGGGCCGAGAGGGACGGCGCAGTGATGGTGGTGGTGGCCCAGGCTGTTGCATTGCAGCAAACTCTGCAGCTTCTAGTCTCCTGGGGGCCGCATAAATTGGGGGGAACTCAGGGGAATGAGGGAAAGAGGCAGGCTGAAGTAAATGGCCCCAAGAGAGGCTGGTGGCATCACCAGGTACACGGAGGTCCCCTCTGGGCATTCTGTGTCAGGGTGGAGCCGTGGGGCTACGGGTGCCTGGGCCCCCCCAGGACAGCCAGAGGTGGAGAACTCCAGGCTCCAGAGGAGGAGAGGATGGGCAGTGAGCCCCTGCCCGAATGCAGGCCTCGCTGGGAGCAGGCACCCCACCTTACTCTGCCCTGGGTCCTTCAAAGGTAGGACGTGGGTATGACTGTGGTGGTTGCTGTGTGTCATCTGGATTTTATTAATCTCTATTGAAGTCATTAAAGCAGACAGATAGGGAAAATTTAACTAATTTCAGGCAGAAATGCAAGTAATGTTGGCCTTAATTCTATCCAGTCAGAGACCCAGCATGGAAGGCAGGAGGGAAAGAAAGGGGAGTAGGGCTGGAAGGGAAGCAGCAGACAGGCCGAGCCTGGGAGAATCTGCTGGCCGCACACCCCACACCCTAGCCTGGGAAAGAGGTAGAGGTGGTGCAGTAACCAAATCACCCACCTCCTCCGACACACACGATGCCTACACACAGACTGCTTTGTTTTGGGTGCTGGGACAGCCTGGGCCCAGATGGTCCTACGGTGCAGTGGGAAGTCCCAAGCATTCTCTGAAGGCCCCCGGGACTGGATGCTGGGGTACTCCTACCAAGCCTGAGTCCTGGTGTACAGGGCCAGGGAAGGCCCCAGCCCTGAGGCTGCTGTGTGGGCGCACGGGATAGAGGACAGATGGGTGTGCAGGACTCTGAGCTGCAGAGGCACCAGCTGCTCTTTCTTAGGTAGAGTCAGGCCTACTGATAGCTTCAACCTGAGCTAAACCTTTCCTGTGGAGCTCTGCTTGGCTGGCAAGGCTCTGAGGGCACCTTTCCTTCCTCCTTCTGGAAGGAGGGCCTGCGGGGGCTGCACCCTGGAGCGGAGAGATGCTGCAGGGGAAGCTCAGGAAAAGTGCTCCAGGGAGCCCTGGGGGAAAGCAGTGGCAGGGAGGAGGCCGCACTTGCGGAGCACTTTGGGCCTCCCTCTCTCTCCACTCTGTGGTTCAACTTGGAGCAGGGCTACCTGAGGCCCCCAGAAGCCACCGGCAGAGCCCAGACTTTGGACCTCAGGAGGTGAGGGCCGGCGGCGGCAGTGGTGGGTGAGCAAATCTCCAGTGGTGGGGCAGTCTGCACAGTCTCTCCGAGTTTGGGGCAAAACGAAACCATATGACCCTCTTCAAAGGGAGCTCCTTATCTGCTGCTCGGTGGAATTTCAACTTTTTTTTCCTGAGCCCCAATAGAAAAAAAGTGCCCACGACCAGAAATAAAACCCCCAAACTCTGAGAGAGCAGGCATAACGGAGGGAAAGAATATGCCAAAGGATCGGTGGGTCCTGGAGGCGAGACGTCCTTGAGCCGCTGACCTCAGTGCGGCAAGGCAGGCAGTCCGGGGCTGCCCCCAACCCTTCAGAGAAGCTTCCTTGCCCTCCTCTGCCGCCTTCCCTCCTCCAGCGGAGGTCGCGGAAAGCAGGGAGAGGCTAAACCAGGGGTCTCCTATCGCCAGCAGCAGCGCTCACCGCTAGGAGACCTTGGGCCGAGCCGGGGCCCCTCCCTATCTGGGCCTTAGTTCCCCTTCAGCATAGCCGGGAGGCTGGATGCGCCAGAGGGTCTGCAGCCCCGCTGACGCGTTCCCCTCTGGACGACTCGCACGCAAGGCCCAGACTGCACGGGAGATGGTGGCCAGCAGGAATGTCCAGGCTGAGCTGGGGAAGAGAGGTAGCGCAAGGAGCAAAGTTTTCAGGGGACACGAATTTTCCGTTTTCGCACAGCCGGGACTTCGTGGCCTCAGCAGGGCAATAATGAGCAGTCCCGGCCCAGCGCGGGACCTCGCCCTGGCCTCCGGACCCTGGAAGAGGCTCAGGACTTCTGAGGCGCCCACCCGGCCTTCGCCCCGCCACCCGCCCGAAAGTCTGGCTTCCGATCTAGGCCCCGCAAACCCGTGGCTCTGGGTCAGGCAGCAGAACTGTAGTGTCATCGGGTGTAGGGGTGTGGTCCTGGCCCCGGGGCTCGGCGGTCAGTGAATGCCCGTGGGCTGTCGCGGTGGCAGAACTTTGGCTCGATGAACCGAAGCCCCGGTCCCGATAATCAATAGTCAGGGCGAAGGCTCCCTTTACTCTGGGCCAGGCTGGCAGCTTTCTGGCCGGGCCGGGACCCGCGGGCGGGCGCCGCCTGCCGCGGGCTCGCTCCCGCATCCCGGGCAGTGGGGCTCTTTGCAGTTTGGAGGCCCCGCGGCCGGGAGGGAGTGCGGGCTCCGCTCTCCGCTCTCACGGCGCTCTTTCTCTGTCTCTGCCCGACTCCTGCAGACGAATCGCCCGGCGAGACCGGCCAAAGCTTCCTGTTCGACGTGTCCAGCCTTCCCGACACCGACGAGGTGGTGGGAGCCGAGCTGCGCGTGCTGCGCCGCGAGTCCCCGGAGCTGGGCCCTGGCGGCGCGACTCCCCCGCCGCTGCTCCTGCTGTCTACGTGCCCCGGCGCCGCCCGAGCGCCCCGCTTGCTGCACTCGCGGGCCGCCCAGCCCCTGGCCGGAGCGCGCTGGGAGGCGTTCGACGTGGCAGACGCCGTGCGGCGCCACCGCCAGGAGCCGCGCGCCACCCGTGCGTTCTGCCTCTTGCTGCGCTCAGTGGCCGGTCCCTCGCGGGGCCCGCTGGCACTGCGGCTGCTGGGCTTCGGCTCACCGGGCAGGGGCCGCGCGGCGGCGGAAGAGCGCGCTCTGCTCGTCGTTTCCTCCCGCACGCAGAGGAAGGGGAGCCTCTTCCGGGAGATCCGCGCCCAGGCCCGCGCGCTCGGGGCCGCGCTGGCGGCGGAGCCGCCGCCCGACCCGGGACCCGGCACGGGGTCGCCGACGGCGGTCATCGGCGGTCGCAGGCGGCGGCGGACGGCGCTGGCCGGGGCGCGAGCGGCGCAGGGCAGCGGCGGGGGCGCGGGCCGGGGCCACGGGCGAAGGGGCCGGAGCCGCTGTAGCCGCAGGCCGCTGCACGTGGACTTCAAGGAGCTGGGCTGGGACGACTGGATCATCGCGCCGCTGGACTACGAGGCGTACCACTGCGAGGGCGTTTGCGACTTCCCGCTGCGCTCGCACCTTGAGCCCACCAACCACGCCATCATTCAGACGCTGCTCAACTCCATGGCGCCCGACGCGGCGCCGGCCTCCTGCTGCGTGCCGGCGCGCCTCAGCCCCATCAGCATCCTCTACATCGACGCGGCCAACAACGTGGTCTACAAGCAGTACGAGGACATGGTGGTGGAGGCGTGCGGCTGCAGGTAGCCTGCGGGCCCGGGGAGGGGGCGGCCGCGCCACCCAGGACCCCCTGCTGAAGGGCAGCTGCGGCCGGGGTCTGCCGCCGAGCGTGGGTGCGCATCGGACACTGGCCCCGGGCCCGCACGGTGGAGGGCGAGCGCACGTTCACACTCACACCAGCACTCACACGCACACACTCGTTCACTCATGCACACATTTACCTTGGGCAGCACCCAAAGCCCTGGCAAGAGACGACCTGACGCTACCGAATGCGTACTCACTCTGCAAACGCACCATCGCACCCACCGCCCCCTTTTGGAGAGAGGAGGCTGTTTGTGTTAACGTTACAATAACAGGCACTAAATGGGGTAGAAATGGGTTAGGGAATTGGGGGTTCCAGAATGGATGAATTAATGGGGGTACTGGAGTTTTATCTCACCCGTTTTTGTCTGTGGCTGAGTGTGGGGGAACGCCCGGCTGGGTGGCTGAGTGCCTGGTGTTGCACCTGGAATGGACAGAACGGCTGTCATGCCCTTTCCCAAGGTTTGTGTTGCATTTACTCTGGGAAGGAACCGCTGCAAAAAGGCATGTTTATTCTTTAATTTAAAAAAATCTAACGTGCCCCTTCAATTTTGAAAGGGAACATTTGTCCTAAAGAATTCATGGTGGAGCTACCCAGATCTTTGCAAAGGTCAGCACTACCCTTTTAAAAAAGTCAGTTCCAATTGGGGATGATCTAGAATGTGGGAAAAAATGTTTTTCTTTGGGGGGGGGAGTGAAATGGAGGAGAGATTATAAACTGCCAGTCTGAACTGATATGAACTTGGGGGGGATGGCACGCGTCAGGTTCTGAAGCTCCTAGGCTGGGCAGTTCAACGTGGTGGCGGTGCCTTGGGGGGTGCTGAGGAGGAGGCTTAGTGCAGTGGCTGGGAATGGGGGAAGGCGGGCAGCTGTGCCTTTTCCTAGAGACCTGCCAGGAGGTTTTGCTAAGGAGCTGGGAAAGAGGCTCCTAGGGCTTTGAAAGAGGTGGGGAGGCGTCTCGGGGCGGGCGAGCGGGCTTCTGCAGAAGACTCAGGCTTGTCTGCCAGGTAGGCGCAACCCTCTCCAAATGGTGTGCTCAGAATGGGCCAACATGTGCTTGCGCTTAGCTATCAAGTCTGTGTTGGCTTTTACACGCTTTCACTGTGTTGTTGCTGTAAGTTTTGGCAGTGTGATAGTAACGGGAAGTGAAGCAACACAAAAGTGCTTTTGTGAGATTTCAGCTCCCCACAACCCAGTGGTTCAGAGCAGGAGGAAGCCCCCCCCCCCGGCCCCCGCCCCAATGTAGAGGGGCATTTGCAGCTTGGCTGTTGTGGCCCCTTCAGAAGGGCGGAGCCTTGGTGCAGGGGGGAGGGCAGAGGTGGAAGCCTCTTCCCCCAGTCCTGTTTTTGTCTTGTTGATGGTAGGACTGCTGGTCCTTATCTAGGGAAGCTAGAACATGCCAGCCTACATTGTTTTATTTGGTTCATTTCTGCCCCAGAGTCCTTTGTGGCCTTGTGTAAGTGGCTGAGAGAGGGATGAGAAACAATTTGGATTCCACCTGTCTGGGGCTCCGAGGGCTTCTTTGAAAACCCCTGCAGCCCTCCTGAGTACTCCTCTTTAAGGCTGTGTTGGGCTTTCACCTTTGGGGTCCCTGAGAAAGGCATCCATTCCATCTTCTTGTCTTGGATGCTAAGGTCCAGATGAGTTATACAAATTTTAATTCTCAGTGATTAAACATTCAAGAGGGAGGAATACTAAGAATTTAGATACAGCTACTTTACTTAAGGGCTCCACCTGAGTCCGTTCTATCCCGTAAAATTCCCCTGAAGGAAAAGAAAATACATTTACAATGTGAATTTATATGCTGTGGCTATCTGAGTAGCCATAAATAATGAAAAAATGCAAGTCTCTTTAGGTTAAAACACACAAAATTCCCGAGGTGGCAGCTACGGTACATCTCCCCCCAATTTCAGTGACCTGTGGTCCCCTTACATTTATGGATTTTGCCAGAGAACCTTCGCTTTTCTAAACTGTTTTTAATAATTGCATGGTGATTGCTCTGTCATAGCGAAGAATAAAAAAATGACACTAAAATATTAAAGGTTGTAGTATTTGAAGTTTTAGAAAGGGAGTTAATGAAAAAACTAGCTATACTTTGAAGAAATTCTAGGTTATTTAATATCTTGGACAAAAGGAAACATTTTGGTTCTTTTTTAGTGACTCGGAAAAACAAAGTTTTGAGAAGACCTGTTTTGATTTAGCCTGAGCTTTTTGTGGCAGGAAAAAAAATGTCCATTTTCTCTGTGGGTTTTTTTTTTTTTTTCCTGATGACCTCCTTCTACCAAGTTGTGTTGTAAGTGGTGTAGGAAGTAGGCATCTTCCTGCATCTGGAGGTCCCGGCTGCATCCAGGGTGGGGGTTGTCCATGGGCAGTGACAGTTCCTCGGATCATCTCAGATGTCCTCAGGGTGTCCTTGTTTACTGACTAGAAGCAATGCCTCCGGGAATTGCTCTGGAGCTGCCTGTCGCCCCCAGGGACGACCTGTGCCTGCCACAACTCTGCTTGGGCCTCTGGCATCTCAGAGTTAAAAGTAGGTGAACGGAGAAGATGTGTCACACTTTGTAAAAGTGACAGCAGAAGGGCCACTGCACGTGGAGGCAGACGTGTTTTTGCTGCTGTGATGTGGTTCGAGCCGCTTTGCCAGGATTTGGAGAAGGATCCTGCCGGCGCAGCTGGGAGTGCCCTGTACTGACTGTCTTCTAGGCAGGGGGGGTGTGGGGCCAAGTCACTCAGCTGGAAGCCCCAGTCCCCACCCTCGGGAGAGCTGCTGGCAAGCAGGGTTAAAGCGTGTCAGCACTGTGAGCGAAGGCAGCGTCCCTTTCCCAACTCAGGGCCCCCTGGGTCTGGGGCCACCACAATAGTCTTCCTCAAGTCCAGCGAATTTTCCATTTTGTTGGGGGAGACTTGTGCACTTTCGGTTGAGACCATGTGAACCACTCCTTCCTGCTAGAGAATAGGGTGGGCATCCCTGCTTGGAGAGCACAGGGCGGGCCAGCTGAGGCCCAAGGGGGTTGGTGCTGGGTTTGCTAAACACGAAGACAGGCTGGTCAGTGCTGCTGGAAGCCAGGCTTCTGTATTAAGGGAGACACGATGCCCAAACGCTTGCCTGGTTGAATTCTGGCTTTCCAAGCAGCAGGGTCATGTCCTCCCGAGGGGGTGTCGGGCTCTGTTGTCTCAGCTTGAGCTCTGTCCATTCCTTACGCACGGACTCCCCTTCATCCTAGTGTGCCGCCATCTTACTACCGCAGTGGCATGGGGAAAAGAAGAGCGTGGACTGTGTGATGTCGAGTCAAATTTGGCAAACCCGGTGCGGTGACTGCTCCCAGGACAGTCTCCCGGAAGTGTCAGCAGGAGCGGGGACCTTGCTGTCAGTGCTGAAGGGAGTACGGACCACCCTGTGGATGTAATCAGAGTGTAACCCAAATTCCCCAAGTCATTTACCCTGTTTGTAATTTTATTGAAACTCATAGCAGAAAATAACCCAGGACTGTAGACTGATTTTCTTCTTAAAGCAGGGAAAAAATTGAATTCTTTCCAAGAGGAGCTTGTGCACAGAAAAAGGCAGACTCTTGCCTTGCTTGAATCTGGTCTCCAGAAAACGGGGTGAGAAGAAGAGCCAGCACGATAGCTGTTTCTGGGTCACAAACATCATGGGGGCCTCGCTGATCTCCTGAGAGTGCGTCGGTGGGGATGCAGAAGCCTCCCCGGGCTCAGAAAGCAGGGCCCTCTCAGTGGGCCTGGGCCAGGAGGCTTCAGGCAGGTGCCCAGTGGGCTGGGAGGATTGAGGGTCTGGAAGGCAGCCATCTGTCACTGGCAGGGAAGGACCTGCATTGTCCCCTCAGGGGTCTGGATTGGGAAGGGAAGAGAGGCAGCTGACAAGTTGGAAGATGTTGGGAGTGAGATGGGAGAGAACTGGGTCCCTCTGAGGTGTGTCTGAGCTGCACTGGTGTGTCTGGGGCCTTCTACGTACCCAGGAGGGAACCGCCCCACTTGAGTGTGTGTACGTGTGTGTGTATGTGTGTGTGTGTGTGTATGTACGGAGACTTCTGCAAAGAGGTGTTTCTGTAGTCAGGGGGTCTGTTGGCAGGACCGCTTTGCACGCTGGTCTAGGGAGCACTTCCTTCCGCCAGGTTGGAAGCTCTGCATTCCAGACAGGCCCACCAGGTAAGAGCTGTGGTGCAGAAACTTTCTCCTTGCTCTAAGTCGGTGATAGGAAGCTGAAACAAGTCGTTGAGAAAAACAAGGACAAGCTTCTGATGGTCGAGCGAGTCCCAGGCACCTTGCCGCTGGGTAGCACAGACCTGCCGGGATGTGGCTGGCTGCTTGGTTTCTGCGTCTCTATTCCACCATCTTTTGAGCCGTCGGGGAACAGGAGCGTGGCCCCGGGGCAGCTGGAGATTTGGCCAGGCAGGAGGTGGGCCGGTGGCTGTCCTTCTTTGCACAGTCGCCTCCGCACTGCTCCATCGGGCCTGCGGTGGCAGCGACCACACCCAGCTCCTGCAGCTAGAGCCGGGCCGGATGCCTGTGCTGAGCCTACACCCTGCTCGGCCGCTTGGCGGCCAGAATCTAGAACCTCGTCTGAACCTTCTGGTCCTGAGGTGTGCTTGTGGTTGACAGAAAGCAGATGCCCTGGGAGGCTTATTCGTGGGAGTCCTGCTGAATTGGAGGCAAACACAAACCCATCTGAGGCACAGAGGCTAACCAGTCCCTGAAGCCGGTCCCCGGGCTGCAGGATGGGAGGGGGCGTGGTGGCCCGGTGCACCTGCACACGGCGTGCGGCCGTCTTCTGTCCGCGCACGGCTTCCCGGCGAGCCTGGCCTCTCGCAGACCTCACGCGTGGGCAGCCCTAGCCTGGACTTGTCAGCCCAGGGAGTCTGAGAAGCAAGTCTGACGACGTGCAGGGGAAGCCTTTCCCGGTCTGCGTGCTTGTCTCCGAGTGACCGAAGGCTGCCGAGGGCCGAAGATGACACACGCGTCCCAGGTTTGCCCGGGAGCTCGGGACAGCAGCAGCATGGCTTGAGATGAGCAGGCTGGTTCGAGGATGGGGTGCACCTGCAAGACAGGGCTTATTTTTCTTTGCAGTTTACATTTCCGGGTCAGGGCCTGTCAGAGTCCGAGGAAAGCCAGCCATTCAGCATTCTGTTTAGAAAATGATGATACATGTTCAGGGAGAAAGCAAGAATGTATTTTCTGGCTGGGAAATCCTCGAGGGTTCCAAGCCAGGAACAGAGACTCTGGAAGGTGGAGCTTCTCTGGCTTTCTCCACCTCGGGTAAGTCACAGATCCAACATAAGCTTCCTTACAGTAACGGCTGTTTTGTTGTTGTGGTTGTTGTTCGGGGTGGTTTGTTTTGTAGTCCACTTTGACAGTAGTGCAAAGAGCTTCTGTGTTTTCTGTGACAAAGAATCATAACTGAGTCACTTTAGGTCTTTCAGCTGAAGTATTTCGCCCCAAATGAAAAGTTAATACATCTTTTTTTTTAGAAGGATTAGCATACTGACTGCAACTTGCCGTTCATCAGAGAATAGGGGATTCAGAAAAGTTTGGGAAGCTTTTTTTTAAAAAAAATACCTATCAAGGGCGCCTGGGTGGCTCAGTTGGTTGAGTGACTGCCTTCGGCTCAGGTCATGATCCTGGAGTCCCTAGATCGAGTCCCGCATCGGGCTCCCTGCTCAGCAAGGAGGTTGCCGCAGAACACGGGCACCAGCTTACGGCATGCCCCTCTTTGTGCAGGCTCTGCGTGGGCAGCGTCGTCCGGCAAGACGGGCGCCTGCCTCTTAGCCAGTCCCTTGACTCTGCCGCCAATGCTGTGGTTCTAAGGAAATGGGCAAAACTCAAAGTGACAGCTATGCCATCACAGCTCAATACGCACATTCCAGCAGCTGAAGACAGAATGTATTATTCTGGGGGCCTGAAGTCCCTTTCCTTTCGCAGTGATACCCACTATTTCTCAGCTCAGCTCGGCAGTAAGATGGGGCAGGTGGTGAGAATTGTAAACTCACTGAATGCAAGCTGAAATCCCCTTGTCGGCAGTCTTCCAGCTCTGGTCTGGCCGGAGCAGAGCTCCGAGGCTTGGGGGCTGGAGACCGGGCCATCTCCCCTCTGCTCCGCGGGGTGGCTGGGGCAGCAGCCGCTGATGTTGTGAGTGCTGCCCACGCCCAGGCCGGCTGGCAGGGAGCTCAAGGCCAGGTACAAACCCACTGTGTATATGTATTCTCAAGTTTAAATAGATTGTACATATTGGAATGTAAATGAACTGTAAAACAGCAATCTCTATTTTTCTTGACAGTTATATAGCAGTATATATTTGTTAAACGTGCTCTTGTATGCTCTTCACATTAACCATTTTAATATTTTGTACAGATAAGTTGATTAAATATTTTATTGATAAACCTGCTCCTGGCTGGCCTTCAGAGAACTGTGTTTTGCCTTGTTATTCAGCCTTTCTCTGGTCGTCTGCTCCCACTGCTGCGCACTGAGAACAGAAGCCGGCCACTTAGGCGGTAGGACACCTGCATGGAAACGGGGCTCCGTGGTAGCTCTGGGCCTGTCGGTCTTTATGTCCACCGCTCCCCCTTGAAACAGCTTCGGCTGTCACGTGCTTCGGGTCTTCGTGACTGGTGTGGCTCCCTAGGACACGGCACAGCCCGTATTGCAGGAAGCCACTGCACGGGAAGGTATCCAAGCTCGGGTGCGGGGGTGAAGGGGCCAACATGCAGCAGAAAGCATTTTCGCTTTAGAAAACTAGCACCACCATGTGTCGCGAGTGAGCGTTGTCCTGCAAACACAGTCCGAGTGGAAAAGTTTTGCTCCATACACAGCAGGCTGCAAAGCCTGAGCACCCCCACTCTGAGGCTGCACAGGGAGGCCTCTGCGACCCACACAGCCACAGCAATGCCTAACTGCGGCAGCTTCCTCTGCAGGGCCTGTTACATATTTTAGGGAAACCAACAGCAACTGCAGCTGCTTCAGCAACGCGGCCGCTCTTGCTCAGGACTCTTCAGACGAGTCCAGCGACCTGCGCTCTGTGGCACCACCTCGCATCCTTCAGGACCTCTCCCAGACCGGGCGGGAGAGGACCAGCCACTCACAGCTTTTTCCTGCAACACAGGAAGGAGAAAGCTATTTCATCTGTTCCTCCTGTACTTCTGGGAGAGGATTAGCGACAGAGCAGCTGTATGGGGAAGGTGACGGGAATGGCTTGGTACCAGAATTACCTCCTCTGGGACATGGGCGCGGCCAGGGGGAGCCCCCTTCCTGCAGAGCAACGTCGGCTGTTCCTGCCGCGGGTCAATGCCAGTCCCCATGGTCACGTTTGTCTCTCTCTGGCGAAAGGTAGACCAAGAAAGTCTGCTCCCCTTCTGCTTCTTAATTTCATTACTACTAAATAAGGGAGTCTTTTTTCTTTGGAAGAAAATCATGTTCACCTTTCAAGTAACTCACTTGGTAGGTACATTCAAGTGTAAGATTTCAGACTCTGCCGTCAGAGTGTGAAGTCTTGTCATGATTGTTTATAAGGATCCTGGGTCGGTTCTTCATTTTCCTCTTTCTCGGTCTCCACGTGGCCCACCCTGGCATTCCGTGGTGAGGGGGATGCAGAGTCAGCAGACAGGGGGCAGTTTTGGGGAGAAAGGAAAGTCAGGGGTAGCATTTAGACGTTGATCCGCGTCCCCGAACACTGATGCGAGCAAGCGTCCACGGTCCACAGTGACAGACGCTAATGGGAGGTGCTGTCTGCCCGCTGCGCCTTCTCTGGTGGGTGCTGGTGTGCCCGACCCGCCCTGCGTGCCCTCTGCCTGTCCCTGCCCAGCAGCCGAGGCGGATGTGTGCCACCTGCTGTCCTGCCAGGCTTGGTGCCCCCCTGACCTGGTTGTGCGTGCATCGTGCTCCGGCGCCCCGGCGGATCCCACACTCTTCTGTACGGGAGGAGGGGGGATCTGGGGAGGAACTCCTCCATTGCAACGTGTCACCAGCGTGCAGCCTCGGACTGCGAGGCCATGGGTGTCTGCCAGTCCTAATCGCATGCAGGTGTGCAGCCCTTCGGCAGTGCCAGCAGGAGGAGGCCCAGCTGTGGTGTGGAGCCGGCGCAGGCTGGACTTGCAGAGACGGGATTCTGGTCCCTCTGTGTGGAGGGAGGCCCTGCAGGTGCACGGGCACCCCTGGCTGTAATGGACGCCCAGTCACCGGGTCACATTCCCATCCCGGGGAAGAGGAATTTTCCCATAGACTTACCCAGCAAGGAAGTCTGTCCCAACGTAGGGAGGTCAGCACAGGCCCCTTTGCCAGAATGTCTGAGGAATGCAATCCAAGATGAAAACGCTCTGCTCTGAAAGCCCCGTCTCATGTATTGTGGCTGTAATTCCCACTTGGGGTGCTGCACCGTTTTAGCGCTCAACAAATACTAACTGCATATTTGGTAGTTGCTAAGACTCAAACTCCAGAGGCTTTCTGACCATGGAAGAATGGAAGTAACCACTGCAGTTGGAGGGGACAAGAATGGCCACGAAGTGCGGGGGCCTTGCTTTCTGTGGTTCCGCAGTGCCAGAAAGCCACCATTCCATGTCCCCAAGTCTAACTGCCCCGGCTTTGCCCGGCTCAGCTGGGGAAAGGCTTCAGGGATAAAAGAGCTAGTCCACCTCCCATTTCCATTTACACATTCAGTCGTGAGGGACGCAGAGTCCCTGAGACGTGATTCCCTGAGAGTCTGACCAACTGAGAGAATTGTGTTTCTTGAGAGGTTGACTATCAGGTATGGTAGAAACTTGTATTGAGTTAGGTAAAGCTTGTTGAATATTCCGTGCGGCGGGCCCTATTCTGTAAGCCCTGAGAACATGGAGATGACAAGACGCAAGTTCCATGTCCTAGGACTCTCCTTTTAAGGGCAGAAAGGAGTTTGGCGGTGGGGGTGGGAGGGGCAGATTGGAAAAATAGAATTCCAGCAGTATCTGGTAAGTACTCCAGTAGAGACAAGGCCAAGGCACCCTGAGGGCTCAGAGGGAGGGAGCCACGCTAGGAGGCAGGAGCTGTTGGCCCTTGGGGCCGTGTCTGGGGGCGGGGGAGGGTAGGGGCACGGCCACGCTCTGATCTGGAGCTGTGGACGCCTAAGGTTTCAGAGCACATGTGTGGTCGGAGAGCTCAGCACCTGGAGGCCGAGTCAGCTGCGGCGGAGCGCAGAGGGTCACAATGAGGCTCAGCGGCCTCTGCTTTGACTCCTGCAGGCAGGCCTTCCTCCTTGCGATCAGCTGCCTGATGCACCGCGCCCCCCATGCTCCCCTCCCTGTTCTCTCCCTCATTCTTCTAAAACTATTCCCTTGTTACCAACTACCTATTCTACCCTGGGCCTGCTAACCGGGCCCTCATTTGCCCTTCCCTCGACTCCCTCGTCCAGACTTCCGCTCTTGCTGGGCGGCCCACGGTTGCCTCCAGGAGGCAGCACGGTGCCGTGGAAAGGGGAGGAAGCCTTGACTCTTGAGTAGAGGCTGCCTTTGAATTCCCACGGCCTCTCAGTAGCTGTGAGATCTTGAGCCAGTCACTTACCTGTCCCCTCTGTGACGGTCTGTACTGAGTACGGCCCTAGCCTATGGCCTACGGGACCACAAGGCTTAACTGAGACACTGAAAGTGCGGGGTGGCGGGGGGGGGAGGTGGGCAGCAGCTTCTTTCTGTGGGCTCTCTTCTCTCTCCCACATCACCCAAGCTCTCCCTGTCTTTCTGGCACTAGGAGCAGCCGCCTCCCCTCTCCCTCTAGGGCTTTCCTCTTCACAGGACTGCAGCAAACCAGAGCCTTCAGTCTGGTGGAAGAGGCCAGACCCGTGTCCCACAGTGGCTCCCCCCGTGGACCGGAGCCTTCACTCGTAGGAATCGCAGCCCCTTTGGAAAGGGACTCCTGCAGGACAGCTTCTGCTTTAAGGCCTTGGAGAGAGATCTGTTCACAGGACACACTTAGTTCCAGCCACTGACGCCTCTTTAAACCCCACCTCCCACGGGACGGAGCAGCCCAAGGATGTCCTCTTCTGTCCTGCAAGAGAAGGCCAGGACAAAGATGATGTCTCAGGTTAAGAAATGTTTTGCTTCCTGCACCTTTTCTAAATCCACCATAAGGTCCTCAAGGTGATGTTCCAACATCCTGTGCTGCATGTGGGAGGCCTGCATGGCCTGGGGCCAGAAAGCTGAGCCAGGTGAGCAACTGTTTCCCCCCCCCCCCCCCCCAATAGGAACCAGAAATGCTAAGACTGGAAGAATCAAGTTGCAGGCTGGGTGAAACCATGTCGAAGCTGAAACATCACTGGGTTGTCCGCTGCACCAAAGAGAAGAGACAGCAAAAGTCTGCTAGACTTTCCTTCAGGTACCATTTTACAGAACATCTACCATAAGACAGACAGGGTGCTAGATGCTGTTATGCATGACCTCAGTTAGCCCCATTAAAAACAAACAAAAACCCTCCCCAAATCTAACATTCTAACATCCCCAAATGAAAGCAAGTATTTTCATGGACAACAAGATGGGGGGAGGGGAGCCTCAGGGAGGCTAAGCCAATGTAGCATCGCAAACCCAGTAAATGACAGATCCAGGATGTGAACTCAGATCTCCACTTACTGCTTAGAAGAAGAAATTTACTTTCTGGAAAAGAAGCAATGAGAGACAGATGCAGGAGAGAGCATGGTGACTTTTTAAAAATTGCTTTTACAAGTTTCAAACTCATCTCAAACTTATAAAAAAATTGCCAAGTACAAAGAACATTTTCTTTCCTCTCTGAACCATTTGGAGTAAAATGACATGATGCCTCATCACCACCAGAAACTTCAGTGTGTCTTTAGTACAAATAAAGACATTCTCTTCGCAAACCACTGAAGCTGGAAAATTAACATTCATCTCTTACTCCTAGCTCATCTGTAGACCCCGATCAAGTTGTGCAAACTGTCCCAACAATGTTTTCTTTTATAAGAAAGCATCTGATCCAGAATCAAGTGTTACATTAAGTTGTCATGTCTTTTTAGTCTCCTTTAATGGAATTAATTTTGGTCGCCTGGGTGGTTCAATCGGTTAAGTGTCTGACTCTTGGTTTCAGCTCAGGTCATGATCTCAGGGTTGTGGGATTGAGCGCCTTGTTGGATTCTGCCCTCAGTGGGGAGTCTATTTGAAGATTCTCTCCCTCTGCCCTTCCCCCTACTTGCGCCAGCTGTCTCTCAAATAAATGAATAAATCTTTAAAAAAATATGGAATTAACTTTAATATAATGTAGGGTGAAGAGAAATCAAGCCTTTGGAGGTCCCTGGCTCTCCAAGGGTTGGGTGGAGAAGTGGATGGTGAGAGGTCCCTAGCCACCTCGGACACGAGTCCAGAGGGCCATGGGAGCTGCCTCTGGAAATCCTCTCTGTCCCCTGGCCCGGGGC